TGCCTCTACAAATGATCCTAAAATGTTAGTAGTGTGGCCTCTATAATGGTTTTAAAATTTTGGAAACTCTGTGAACAGGATGTTTTTTTGCAATCTCAATAGCGAAGGAGGAAGCCACTAAGTTGGGAACAGTCATCGGAATTGATCTTGGTACAACTTATTCTTGTGTTGGCGTGTACAAGAACGGTCATGTCGAAATTATAGCCAATGACCAAGGTAACCGTATCACACCATCTTGGGTGGCGTTCACCGACAGTGAGAGGCTCATTGGTGAGGCTGCGAAGAATCAGGCAGCAGTTAACGCTGAAAGAACTATCTTTGATGTCAAGAGACTTATCGGAAGAAAGTAATTGACATTCTTCTCATGTTTCCTCCTTTTGCATTTTGTGTTGATTGGAATACAATGCTTACCAGGGCAATTTTTTCTTTGCAGGTTTGAGGATAAGGAGGTCCAGAGGGACATGAAACTTGTTCCATACAAGATTGTGAACAAGGATGGCAAACCTTATATTCAAGTAAAGATCAAGGATGGAGAGACCAAGGTCTTCAGCCCTGAGGAGATCAGTGCTATGGTTCTGACTAAGATGAAGGAAACAGCCGAAGCTTTCCTTGGAAAGAAAATCAAGGATGCAGTAGTTACTGTTCCCGGTGAGTGCATTATAAAAAGCAATTCTCTTTGCTGGAAATAATTTTGTTTGCTTGATCCTAGATTATCCTTTTATGCTCAAATTATCCATATGTTTGATTTGCAGCTTACTTCAACGATGCCCAGAGGCAGGCCACAAAGGATGCTGGCATTATTGCTGGCCTCAATGTGGCAAGAATTATCAATGAACCAACTGCAGCAGCCATTGCCTATGGTTTGGACAAGAAGGGTGGTGAGAAAAACATTCTTGTATTTGACCTTGGTGGTGGGACATTTGATGTCAGTATCTTGACAATTGACAATGGTGTATTCGAGGTTCTTTCCACTAACGGAGACACTCATTTGGGAGGTATGAATTTTAATTGTTTGCTTCAAGGCTTTCAAAGTTTGTTTCACCAATGGATTTTTGGTTATGGTCATTTTTTCGTAGGTGAGGATTTTGACCAGAGGATCATGGAATACTTTATTAAATTGATCAAGAAGAAGCATGGAAAGGATATCAGCAAGGACAACAGAGCACTTGGGAAGCTTAGAAGGGAAGCTGAGCGATCCAAGAGAGCTCTCAGCAGCCAGCACCAGGTCCGTGTGGAGATTGAATCACTCTTTGATGGTACTGATTTCTCTGAGCCACTAACCAGAGCTCGCTTTGAGGAGTTGAACAATGACCTGTTCCGGAAGACCATGGGACCAGTGAAGAAGGCTATGGAAGATGCCGGTTTGCAGAAGAACCAAATCGATGAGATCGTTCTTGTCGGTGGAAGCACAAGAATTCCAAAGGTTCAACAACTCCTTAAGGACTACTTCGATGGAAAGGAACCCAACAAGGGTGTTAACCCTGATGAGGCTGTTGCTTATGGTGCTGCAGTACAAGGAGGCATCTTGAGTGGCGAGGGTGGTGATGAAACCAAAGGTACATATCATCACCTGTAATTATAGGGGAATTAAACTGTTGTATTGAATCAACTGTGTCTGATATTTGTGTTTAATGTTCTCTTCGAAACAGATATTCTTCTCCTCGATGTGGCTCCACTTACACTTGGCATCGAGACTGTTGGTGGGGTAATGACCAAGTTGATTCCTAGAAACACTGTTATCCCTACCAAGAAGTCTCAAGTTTTCACCACTTATCAGGACCAACAGACTACTGTCTCCATTCAGGTACACTTTAGAAATTCTTGCATGAACGTAAAATTCCCAAGAGTTCGATTTTCCTTTCAATCATAAGAGCTCTAATGCTTCGGAACCTTATTCAAATTGTTGTGGTTCGATGTCAGGTTTTTGAAGGTGAAAGGAGCCTCACAAAAGATTGTAGGTTGCTGGGAAATTTTGATCTTACTGGAATTCCTCCAGCTCCGAGGTTTGCTCCCTCCCTTTGATTCCCTTTTGTAGTTTCTGCAAATCTTCACCTGCATTATTCATTTATTGTTCGATCCCTCGAAACACAGGGGCACCCCACAAATCGAAGTTACATTTGAAGTTGACGCAAATGGTATCTTAAACGTAAAGGCGGAAGATAAGGGTACCGGAAAATCAGAGAAGATCACCATCACAAACGATAAGGGTCGACTGAGCCAGGAAGAGATCGAGAGAATGGTCCGTGAGGCAGAAGAATTTGCGGAGGAGGACAAGAAGGTGAAGGAAAGGATAGATGCGCGCAACAGCTTGGAGACCTATGTCTACAACATGAAAAACCAGATTAGCGACAAAGATAAACTCGCCGACAAGCTTGAATCCGATGAGAAGGAGAAAGTTGAAACCGCCGTGAAAGAGGCATTGGAGTGGCTTGATGACAACCAGAGTGCCGAGAAGGAAGACTACGAAGAGAAGCTCAAGGAGATTGAGGCGGTGTGCAACCCTATCATCACTGCAGTATACCAAAGATCTGGTGGAGCAGCAGGTGGTGGGTCAACTGAAGAAGATGATTCTCATGATGAACTCTAAAAACTTATAATTATATATTTTGACTGCTGTAAGGGTAAGAAGGATGAGAGCGTAGGTAGGTGTGACGAGGACACTGTAATTTGTCTCTGTGGTAGAAGTACTTCCCTTGCGTCTATTTTTGAGTTAATGAATACATTTTAATGGATTTTCTTTTATTGCTTTGTATTTTGCAGTGTTAGGTCAACCACAACAGTTCCATTTTAAAATTTTCCTGCATCTTGAAAGTTTTGAATCGAAATGCCTTCCAACTTTTATTCAACGAAACATGTAGGTTTGGGGAATTTAAATTGAAATTTTTAACCGTATCAAAAAATATTATTGGTATTGCAAAAATTAAGCACGAATATTAATTTTCATCAATCACGACTCCATAATTTGATGAATAAATAAATAATATGAAAGTTTTATCTTATATACTGGTGATGGAGAAAAATATTTCATAGAAATTGTTTAATTATGTGTTTTGTTTTAAGAGATATATTTAAGGTTTAGTTTATAATTTAAAAATTAGAATTTAATATTTAAAATTTTAAATAAAATAGATGATATTGCTTGTAAAATACTTTATTCTCATGCGTAGAATAATAATTTTTATTTAATATTTTAGGGTAAAATACATAAATGGTTCTCGGGCTATATGCCACTAACTATTAAAAGTTATTTCAAAAGTTATGAAATATTATAGAGTATTGCTTTGTTGAGTCGTTGACTATTAAAAGTTACAAAGTGGTTAATCGATTATTCATATATTCTAAACTCGTTCTTTTCTATTAAAAAGTTGATGATAATCTGAGGTGGAAGTTAATTTGTTAAATGTGATATGATAAAATTTGATCTCAAAATCTCAAATGATTATCATATCACATTCAGTAAGTTAACATCTAACTCATATTACCATCAATTTTTAATAGAAAACGATGAGTTTGTAATATATAAATAGTCATGTGACTATTTTGTAACTTTTAATAGTCGGGAACTCAACAAAGCAATACCCTAGTCATTGAATCATTTTGTAACTTTTACTAGATGGAGAATTCAACAAAGTTGTGCCCTGTAATCGGAGGATCATTTATGTACTTTACCCAAATTTTATTAACATTTGTGCATTTTACCCAAATTTTATGAAACTTTAGCTTCTATTAACGGAGCGACGACAAAGGTTCTTTGTTTTAAGGGTTATTAATATATCTATTCTTGAATATATTGGTTTTTGTTCATCAGTTTAAAAAAATATAAAATTACATTTTTTAAAAAATTATACATGGTTGCAATTATTAGTATTCATAAATATTAAATAAATATATTTATAAATATTAAATCAAAATATTTATAAATAGAGTAGTGAACAATTTAATTTGAGTTAATCAATTTAGTTAGTTTCAATTTAATTTGATAAACCAACTTAGTCAATTGAAGACTCGGTTAAGTTAGATTTATGGTTCATTTAATTATGAAATTTCATAATGGATAAACTATATCATTCATCTCTGAACTTTTTTCTCTCCTATTTCACTCATAGAACTTTCAATTTTTTTAAATTTATTAATTGTACTTTTAAATCACTCTTGCTTTAGTCACTCTGAATTATTTTATTATTATTTTGATATGATTTGAAACTTTTTATTATTATTTAGTATAAAAATAATTTAAAATATAAAATTAAACCTAGATAATGGTTGACAGTGATGAGAAGGGACAATGGTTTTCTTAAATCATTTTAAATTTAATATAATAAAATATTATTTTATTATTTATTTTAAATTATTTTTATATTTAATAATATATAAAAATGCCATGACATAGAATAATAATAATAAAAATAATTTGTAGTGACTAAAACAATAGCAATTTGAAAGTTCAGTGAGTAAATTGGAAAAATTGAAAGTACAATGAGTGAAATAGGAGAGATAGTAAAGTTAAATGATGAATGGTGTAATTTACCCTTTCACAATTAAATCAACTCATATATATTATTTCAAATTAATAATATAAATTAATTATATTTTTAATTATTCATTACATAATTTACTATATAATTGTTTTAAATAATGTTTATTTTAAAAATTAAGCCAATTCAGTTAGACAAACTAAATTATCTAATTTGATCAGTTCAGTTAATTTAAATTATGATTGGTTATGTTACTAGCATTAACAAATTGATAGGTTGATGCATGCTTCGGTGAATCAGTATTGTTAGATCAAATGGCTCAAGATCATGAAGAGATTAATCTAGGGATGATACTTTTAAGCGAACCACATCATTGGTAAAAGAAAACCTTGTTATTTCTAGAGGTTTTGAGTTTGAATAGCTATATCTTTAAGATGTATGAGCGTTATCATTTATTAAAAAAAAAATTCTAAACTGATGCTATCTTGCAATCACTCATACTATTAAAAAAGCATCAAAATTCATATATAATATAGGGGTAAAACTGGAATAATTCAAAAGTTCAGCGAGTAAATTAAAAAAAATTAAAAGTACAATGAGTAAAATAAGAGAGAGAGTAAAATTCAGTGACGAATAGTATATTTTACCATGTTTATTGCCTCAAAGGTGGGTCACTAAGGTGCTGTGGAGGTCTTTTTGGGGTCATTATTGTCTCCGTTGAAGACCACCTCCGACAGGTTCATCTCCATCTTGGCCCCTTGCCTTGCTGCTATTATTCTCTTTGTGGACTTGTAATATGTGGCGTACAACAACAGCTGCGCTAAGCTGAACAATGTCCCTAATCCATTAGAAGCCTGCAATATTTTTGAACCCCAAACCACATGTCTGTCAAGACTCGAGGCTCATATCACAGCTTGATAAATTAGTCAATGACGTGGAAATTTTGATTTAAAAGTTGGTGTTTGATGTAAATTGTGTGTGTATACACCGAAGCATCTTATTATGAAACCTTAGAAGATTAGATACTAGTTCTTGTTCTGATTGCATGCGGAACACATCAATTTCGTAAATAAAATTTTCCGAGTTCAATAATCAGAAAATTATTTACTAAGGATTGAAATGAACAGTAGGGAAGTGTGCTTAGTTGATGAAATTCGTTAGATTAAATGATAATTCGTCCTTTCTGTCTCTTTCGTTTATTCATTCAATTTTGAATTAAATCTAATCATATTTTTGTTTAATTTCCAAATCTCAATTTATCAAATATCATTTAACTCTTAATTTTCTTCAATCTAAATTTAACCGTAAAATAATATACCATTCTTATTATTTTTATGCATTGTTCAAAATCAAGCTTCATATAGCTCACATTTACTTTTTAATTCTCTCTTAACTGTATTTAAGATGTTTTCTTAATAAAACAATGAAAATAATATGTTTGACAAAATTTAATATAATGTTAAAGTAAAGTTTGATCAAGAGAGAGTTTTTCACCCAAATTCCTTAAGAGATTGTGAATCTCAATTCCAGGTTATTAGTCCTAAGTGATTAGTTTCCATTTTAGAGCCATCAATCCTTGGTTTTAAAGTCTGGTAAGCGAAACCATAAACTTTAAAGTGAAGAACTAGGGTCATGCATGTTAATTTCATCTTTGATTATGATTTTAGTATTAAATTTGTTAATGAAATGCATGATTGTTCTTAAAAATCAAGAAGATTTGGAGGGGGGGAAGCAATAAAACCGAGTTACAATGGATATAGACAAATCATGCTTTTAAATTGTTAAATTGTGTTTTTGGTTTAGGGTTTAGGGTATGTGATGATTTGCGTTAACGAATGTATTTAGTATGTGATGATTGGCATTGATGTATAAATATGTTGTTTTTTCATGTTTGAAGTGCAAAACCGAGTTAAATGCTCTATTAAATATTGACAATGAGTTATATACCAATTTGATAAGGTGGACGACAAATTTAAGACAGTCGACGATGTATTGAAATGGGCTATTGCTTTTTAATTTATGTCTAGGTACAAATATCATTCCGTTGGATCTATAGTGCTTGTGTACATGTTTTAAAGACATCGATTTTGACGAGGCAGAAGAATGTTTATTATTATGATCGGTAAGGTAAATAGGTGACTATTGAATCTGTATCATTTTGATACCTAACGAGGAGGTAGGATCCGCAGGCTTCTAAAATCCATGAAAATACACACAATTTTTTGATAACTTGATGAAACTTGCATACTAGTATTGCTATGATTTATTTTATCATGATAACACGTGGATGCTTATGTTTTGTTAAATCAGTGTGCTATAGTAAGATTGTTATGATTTGCTTTGTTGTTGTGTCGACTACCTCACCGAGTTTCTCAAAGTTTATTCTATTTGTTTTATTATTTTTGCACGATTTCACTACTCTTATATTACTTCAGACTGCATTTTAGGATTCGTAAATCAATTCTCAATTGTTAGAGTGTAATCTCTTTTGTTCTAAACTTCTAGATGGTTTCATGTAAATGTAGCTACTTTAAGTAGTGATATATGCTTGTAGTGTACATGAAGTTATCAAATTAAGTTGCCAAGTATTCCTATGTTTGATTGCGTTACTATCACGATTCTAGGGTTATGTATGCAACGATGGATTGAGAGGGGCGGGTGGAGGTAGTCGCCCCATCAAAATTTAAAATTGTCATTTATTTTAAAATTTTTCTATGTATCTTTTATTGAAAATATGTTTCCGTCCATAAAATTTTATAAATTCAAGTTCGTTCTCTAATATAAAATAATGTGTCTGTCCCTGTATGTATGTGAATTTTTGATGTAATATTTCCATGATAATGAGGCATTCTACTTTGATTTTGGCTTCATAATTTATAAATATAAATTCTCAGAGCTATATCATTTTCGATTTTTTTTTCATTTGAATGTTGCACTCTAGGTCTTTGAGGGTACTTATTTCGAAGCATTCTTGGTTCACTCATTCTAGATTTCGACCATCTTTTACTTGAGTAATTCAGATTTAAGTTGGATACACTGAAATCGTTAATTTTTTTACTTTGAAATAAAATCAATTTTAATTAATCGAAATTACTTTTCAACTTCAAATAAAAATTAAAAACTTTCTTTGAATACTAGGGTAAATTACGCATTTAGTACTTAAACTATCAGTTTTGGTTCGTTTTAGTACCTAGACTCTCAAATTTTTTTCAAAATCATACCTAAAGTTTAGTTTTTGTTTTATTTTAGTACACCTGTTCAAAATTTAACATTAAATTTTAAAAAAATTAAAAATTTAAGTACTAAAACGGATCAAACTGACAGTTTAACAAAAATTTAACAAATTGGAAAAGGGCTTTCCGTTTTAGAAGGCACATGGAATAAAAGGTGCCTAACTTGCCTAAACAACACAGAATACCAACCTTCCCTCATAGACATCACTTTTTGTTGGGATTGAAAAACTGCAATAACTTGAAATCCTACAACGCAGGAGGTCCTACATGTATCTACCGTTACTAAAAATATCGAGTAAGAAAGTGTGTTGCAATAATCAAGATTGTCATATTTTCCCAAACGAAGATGGTATAGTCAGCGGCGGATGCAAATGGTTTTCCATTCAGAAATCTGAATTTTTTTATATTAGATGTTTATTTGACTATTGGTGTCCATACTGAGATTTTATTTGTGACTACTCATATGAAAATTTTTAATAATTAATATGTGTCAACCCACCCTTAAAAATATTTTCGAATCCGCTACTGGGTATAGTTTTTTCAAATGGATCTCGTCGGTGTTTACAGACATCAGTTAAATATTATTTAGTTATTTCTTTTCTAATTATTATTATTATTATTTGTTTGATTGTCCGTTTCTAATATATTGATCCATTATTGGGTAATTCTTCCAATCCAATTTGTTCCATTTATAGATTTTAATTTTAGTTAAAGGATCTAGTACCTTATCCCACTAGACGAACTGGTGTTTGGTTTTATTATAATTAATTTTGTTTTTGAGTTGAGTTAAGAGCTAATCAATGAGAAAGAAAAAGGTGAAGACCGGAATTGCAACTTACAGCGATGAAAGGGTCGAAAGGGAGGAAAGCGTAAGTAGTCCAAGCAACACCATTGGCGAAGGAACCCACTGAGAGGAAAAACGGCATATACTCCACACTTTTCGTCGTGATCACCAGTTTCTGCGTTAGTCATCAGACATTCATCTTCAATATCTAAACTCTTATTATAGATATAGATCAGAAACGGACGTAATATTTTATATAAAGGGTGAACTTATAAAATTTTAAGATACTGACCATGACGGATAAAGGGGCGGCGTACATCATGATATTGAACAGAATAGCCATAATTCCGACGACGAGGGAGCGGCGTCGAGTGTTGTGAGCTACGATAAGAACGAGAGCAGTGAGAGCCGCGACGAAAATGAGTTCAAGCAGCACAATCAGCACCACTTTGAGTCTTTTTTTCTTGTCATGACAAAAGATGAGGAAGAGGGTGAGATATGCAAGCTCAATGGCAGTCCCGGTGCCATTGATGGTCACAACCAGGGAGCTGTTAGGGTGCACCATCGGCAGACCGTAAACCACCCAGACCATGCAATTGATTAAGGTTGCTAGGTATGGCACCGGGGAGAACTGCTCTACCGACCCTTTCTTCCATATTCGAACAAAAGTTGGCCTGCCAAAATAACTCTCCTTAATTACTCAACTAATTGAAGGAATGTATTATGATAATTAACAATGGTTAAATTATTATTTTTATTCTTTTATTATATTCAAATAATTAAATATTTCGATTAAGATATTTGCATAGAATTTTTTAAAAATTTAAATGATTACAAGGTAATATTCGTTTATAATATTTTTTAATCATTGACGACACACATCCCTTAAATAAAATTACTCAAATCCAAGATTTCAAGGAAGAATAACACTCCCACTCTTGTGATACCCGTGGCAGTTATGCCTTTTATCATAATACCCCTGGCACCCAAAAATCCACAAATACCCATTTGTCTTATGCTAAAATGCCTTTCACCGCTATGGGTAATAATGTCATCTCGGTTTGCTCTCACGAGTGATGTTATGTTTTTCCTCTTCATTGAGTTAAAAATCTGATAACTGAAAAAAATACAGAAATGAAAAGAATCAATGGTGCTTGGGAAAATTATGCTAAAGTAGAAGCTTACAAAGGAGACAAGAACAGGAAGAGCGAGATGAAATTCCCTGGAAAAGAAACAGAAGAAACCAACCTTAGTTTAGTCTTGAATACATGGAAATCAATTGAACAAAGGATATATTCACAAACAATGATAAATATGCGTGAAACTCAAATCCATGTATCATATAAACGTACGTACCTGCGATTCCAACTATATTTCGGCTGGTGGTGACAAGGTGGGAAACCATGACTGACAACAGAGAGAAGAAAGAGGAAGAGACAGCGCAAAAGAGAGCGTCTATATGTAGATTTTCAAAACAGAATATTTTTGGATGAAACTACTACGAGTTGTTATATATAATATATGGGCCGAGAGAGTTGTCACAAAAATTTATAAGTAAATTTTATAAATTTTAAATTTTCGTTTGGTTTTAATACATATTTTAATTTTATTTTTTTAATTTTTTTAACACGATTATATTTATATCTAACATAAAATTTTACGTTCATTATCTCTATAAGAATCAAGAGAGATCTTCTCAAGTGAGCTTAGGTTTAGCATGCATATCTAGAACTGCTTGGTCCCTTGCATGACATGTAGGGTAGTAAAATTTAGGGTAAAATATACAAATGGTCTTTTGATTGGAGGACGTTGTTTTTTGAGTCCTCCAACTATTAGAAGTTGTAAAATGGTCTCCCAATTATAGGACATTATTTTGTTGAGTCCCCCGAGTATTAGAAGTTTCAAATGGTTACCCAATCGACTATTCATATGTTTGAAACTCATCATTTTTCGTTAAAATTTGACGGATACCTGAGCTAGACGTTAAATCTACTAATTTGAATATAATAGAATCATATTTTAATGATGTCTATTGGTATTGTCGTTGCTTTCAAGCACTGGTTCGATGACATAATGTTTCAAGCACTAGCTCGACAACATAATGTAACAGAGACTCAATCCAAAATATATAGTTCAAACGATTATGGGATAAGATTTTATGTCAACATGTTAACGTTCAACTCTGACAACTGCCAAATTTTTAATAGAAAAGTTCGAGTTTAGAACATATAAATAGTTAGATGATCATTTTATAACTTTTAATAGTCAAAATACTCAACAAAATAACATCCTATGTTTAGGAGACCATTCTATAATTTTTAATAATCAGAAGAGTCTACAAAGTAAATTAAATTTATATGGAAACTCTTGGCAAAAAGTATCCTTGATGATTGATGAAGTGAAAGAATCAATGAAAGAAGGTTTTTGATGGAGTAATGTGGTGTTGGCAGCTGGCATTTCCATTTAAGGTTAGAGTTTACGGTTCAATGTTCGTTTATCTATGTTAAAAAATTTATGCTACAAAATGTTGGATGAAGAAATAAGATTAAAAAAACCAGAGACTTATTGTATAGACCTTGTGAAATATCTAATCCATACAAGAATACTTCATTCTTTGCCAGTGTTTGATTAGAAATAGAAATTCTTATCAAATAAGATTTTTCGTAATTTAAATTTTTACTTTTGATCAAATAAGGCAAATTTGGTTAGATAACGTGGTCAAAATAATATTCTGTCATATAAGATGTTGAGTAATTCTTTTCTCATCTAATATAAATGTTATACTGCACGCCGAAAGACGTCCATATGACATGGTGATTTTGACAAGACTGCAGTATTATCAGTTTGCGAGCATGCATGCAGTTTTGAGGAAACTCATTATGGGTAATCTAGTTTACTCTATTCCCATTACTAAAATTCGAATCTTAAGTTTTATTTAAAAAATCTAATTTCTCATCACATTAGTGCCACTAATCGCTGGCTGTGTGTTCTTATTTCTTATAATCTTGGAGTGACTTCAAAATTGGAATCTCACATTAGTACCACTATCGTTGGTTGTGTGTTCTTATTCTAATAATCTTGGAGTAACTTTAAAATTCGGATCTCAAGTTTTATTTAAAGAATATAGTTTTTCATCTCATTAGTGCCGCTAATCGTCGGTTGTGTTCTTATTTCTTATAACGTTGGAGTAACTTTAAAGTTTCTCCATAGACTTTAGAGATGGAATTGCAGAGACTTCAGAGAGTGAATCATTTCCTCGTGGTAATAGCCAAGCCAATGAATGATATTCACTGTTATTTCCACTCAAATTTAAGTATTTGCTTGTCTATATTCCACCATATGTCGGATGTTTGTTCAAACTTTCAAGAGAGCTCATAGCCCCATAGAGTGCCATTTGGCCAGCCATGTTTTGATAAGTGAAGCAACCACAATCAAAATCTTTTACTGTGTATGCGCAATGAAAATGCTTTCAAGGGCTGAGTGACAAATATGCATTTTCTAATAATGGTGCAATTCATTTCATCTATACTGTAGGGAATATTGCTTTTAATTACCAGTCTGAGTGAGGTCTTCTCATTACATATCCCCAAGAATAATGACTAGAATTTTCAACCTAGATATGCGTATCTGGCATTAATAATTATCTTTACTGTTATTTTCTTTATAAAATAATTTTTACTATTAAAGATCTAGTGTCTAAATTATTACTTTTGTTCTGTTTTAATGTCTAAACTAAATTTTTTTAAATCATGCATAACATTTAGTTTATGTTTCATTTTGGTACCCGCCGTTAAAAAATTAACGGTAATGTTGACGTGTCACTATAAAAATGCTACATCATCATTGAAAAAACGTCACGTCAGTCGTTATATTAAATTTTTAACGGTGGGATATCAAATTGAAACTTGAACTAAATGTACTCAGGTATGCTTTTGAAAGAAAATAAAGTGTGGATACTAAAACAAAATAAAAAATAATAGTTTAAGTACTATACGTGTAGTTTACCCTTACTATTATTGTATTTTAAAATTAGAACAGATATTGATATGAATACAGGTCGGTCATGGAAAGTATATGAGCTGGGCATGCATTTGGTGCTGGAAATCAGATACTTTTCACCACCTGAACAATAACCTCACATGTTTCCGGTCTAATCATGTTTGTTTAGGATTTAACGCTATTATTCCTATCAATCGCGATGAAAAGAAACTAATAAAGGTAAAGTATATGAATTATCTTCGATTATAGCGTATTATTTTACTGAGTCTTTCGATTATTACAATTTACAAATAATTTCTTATTATAAAATATTATTTTATTTAGTTTCATAATTATTAAAAATTACAAAATGGTCACCCGATTATTTATATGTTCCAAACCCCATCATTTTTCATTAAAATAATTGACGGTCGTCTGAGTTGTACGTTAACCAACTGATTCAGATATGATAAAATTATATTTTAATAGTGTCCGCTGGCACCTTCGATGCTTTCAAGCATTGACTCGATCTCATAATATTTCAAGAACTGACTTTACGGCATAATTTAAACAGAGTGTCAATCCACAAAATACAATTCAAATAATTTTGGGATTAGAATTTATTATATCACATTCAATATTAGTATCTAGCTCAGACAGTCGCCAATTTTTAACGAAGAAATGAGTTTAAAATGTATGTCGAGTGGTAATTTTGTAATTTCTAACGGTAGAGCACTAGACTCATAACCATTGAGTAAAAAACATGGGCCAATAATGCCTCATAACCCTAACTAACTAACTAACTAACTAACTAACTAACTAACTAACTAACTAACTAACTAACTAACTAACTAACTAACTAACCTTTGAGCGATAAATGAAAAAGTTATCTATGAAACTCTAGCCCTTACCCGACATCACCACCTTGGAACCATCAATTTTCTTAACTTGAGTTGTTTTGCTCTACACTTTATACTCACGTTAGGCTCGAATAACAAGTTCATCCCTAAAATTACATCTAACCTCAGAAGGGCCATTTCATCAAATTTTTTTAAGAAGATTTCACCTTGGACCTCTATGGGGAAACAATGGTAAATTTTGTCAACAAGGAAATCTAAACCTAAAGGGCTAGAGACTTGAAATCCTGCCTCTATGTCCTTAGCATGTATACCTCTCTCATGTACAATGTCAAAATAGATGTAAGAATGAGTAAATTCTAGATCCACCAAAGTAGTAATAGAAATAAAAAAATACTATATATATACACCTAAAATCACATCAACAGTGTCGCATTCCTCTTGAGCCCTTACTAAAATTTGTCTCAAAGCCACTCTCGACGTAGACCTAATTATGGATATAAAAGTACCTCATTTATGCTTTTCACATGTAATGCCACCACCTTTCGAGGCTTCTCGACCTCTCTAAGTAGATGGTGCCACCCTTTGGGTAGACGCTAGTGCTACACACTACACTGTAGGACAATCTCGAATGAAATGGTCAAGAAGACCATAACCAAAGCAAGCTTTTGACATCTGATAACACTCTCCAAGATGCCTATTATCACAATGATGTATTTGGGATAGACCATGACCCTCGTTGATTCACTAGTGCTCATCATAAATGTTGATGACAAAGGTCTCCTACAAGACTCAGACCCACCCCTTCAGTTTAAGCTTTAACCTGACTTTTGAGACTATGTAATTGGGAACTTCCATGATCCTTGAGAGTATTTGGCCCTCTTGGTCAAAGTCTGTGATGTTTTTGCTGGCTCTGATGCTCTCTGATTTTGCCACTGTAGAACTGCTTATCAAATGGGCCTTCATACCTTGAAATCTCTCAACCACCTTGGCCTCATAAATAAGCATAGTAAAAATCCTTAATGGGTTAGCTGCTAGCTATGTATGAATGTTTATATGCATGACTTCTCTAAACATCCTAAACATCGGTACTCATTGGCCACTAACTCTAGTGCATAATGACTCAAGCAGAGAAAATCTCTCTTATATTGGAAGACGATCACCCTGAGCCAACTGGGCAAACTACATCCTCAAATCGTCAGTGTGAGTCTTCTTAATATACTTTTACCTGAACTCTAATAGAAAAGATTCCTAGGTAGGGCGCTCATGCTTCTAGACTAGTTCTACGATCTCCCACCAATCTATAGTATCATCCTTCAGTAGCACAATGATGTACTCAAGCTTATTGTCAGGGGTGAGATGCAATCGAAGAAGCGTACGAAGGGTCTCAATAAGCCATTGATTGGTAGCAATAGGGTCGTCATCCCTAGAACCAAAGAAATTTTGTCATCTTATACAGATGGAGCCTCTGAACCGGGGATTCTTGTGATACCATAACAGGTGGGATAGTTAAGGTTCTAGGGATGTCGCATATGATGTGCCTAACTGATTAGGTTAGATCCCTAAATAAGGTTATATCTTTGACTCTCACATCTATAGGATTCCATACTCATTGGAAT